GTTTTGGGCACAGCTGACGGGATAGCTTGGAAGTGAAATTTTCTGATCCACTTCTTTTATTACTGAGACTTTCAGGTGTATAACACCATCCATACGGTCAATGAAGACTCTGGACGGCTCGATGCTGATTCATCAGGCAGCCCTACCGTCCGAAGTTCCAGACCTCTACGGCTTATTGAGCGTCTGCGATGACGAACGGCAAAACAGATAGTGGGCTATCATTGACCTTGTGGGTAGCATTCTCCGGCATTGTGAGTACCGCTCTAACTGCAACGATTGTCGGCCTTTATGATACGCATTCAGTTGAGGAATATTAATAACAAGAGATCCATAAAGGAAACTACTCACAAGGTTGCTGAAAACCCTTCGACAGCCTACGACCGGTTTCGCCCCTTTTGGGGCTCATCAGGTAGGCGTAGTCCCTGAGTTTCCGTCAACCTTATGGTCTACTTGAACCCGAATTATTTCGAGAAATACGCTCATTTGCAAATCAATTTGGTTTTCACGAGTAACCCAACTGAATCTCGCGTTTATGACATTCTACAACTGAATGTGCTGCACACAGTTGAGTTTCTCGTGAAAACCAAATTGGTTTACAAATGAGTTTATTTCTCGAAAACAGGAGATCCACTTTTGTTTACTGACTCCTTAGTTAGCAACAAACCTACTTGCGATTGAGTATTACTCTGCAAACTTTTCATGTGGTGCTAAACATGCGCAAGGAACCTCCTTGAATGCGCAAATCCTGGGGCAGATCGTTTGTTTCCTTAGCGTGTGCTTCTTCAAACGGCTAGCATATGTGAAAGTTTGATTCATCGCCCGCGTCCCATCTCATATCACCTGTCACCCTAGACTATTTCGATGTGCTTTAATGGGAATTGTCACCTCATCTTGTTGATTACCCAGTCATACAGGTCAATCTATTGCAAATGCAGTCCAATTCAAAGTTTCTTCGTACACTAGCGGATTAACTTTCAGCACACTGTCACAGTGGATTCGGCGTGCGGTTTGATTAAATGTGAAAGAGTTCGCATGTACGAAGAACAGAGTTCATACAGGTAGTCAGATAAAGGTTGGTTGTCTGGTGCTGTGATGTACTGAAGTGGGACTTGTGATAACTTTTGAATTGCACGCCATGTTGGTATTCCCATAGTGAAAAGTTCACGGTTGAATTTTCAGAACTGCCAAACCTACAGAAATTGACACTGCCCTGTTATCTGCTCACTCCTGCTAATGCGCAGATTTTCTGGTGTTTTACGTGATTGGATCCCCTAAAAATGCAGCACATACTCTGGTGAAACGCTCACGTGAATGCGTCGTTGGCTGCTGTTCATAGACAAGAGCTTTCCACTCACTTCCTCTTGGATCTGGTTTATCCTTGTGCCAGGTTGAGCCGCCACGCTGTTGTTAAGAAACCTGGCTTTTCTACAAAATCGCGTGATTCTGCAGTCGCGGTCGAGATGTGGGGTCTAAAATTATCCGCGATTTGAAAGAAGCACGTTAGTTGGGATGCTTGCGCCTTGCCCAAACCTAAACAGGAGCGATCGAAAAGCCAGAGTTGGGTTTGAACCATGAACCTCACGATCAGTAGCCTCCAGCCTTAAACGCTGAGCTGAACAAGTAAAGTGAAGAGGCGCGGGTGTATAATGTCTCAAGGGTTCAGTTCAACATACTAATTTGTCTGAACGAGTACCGTTGCGAACGATCGGTCCGGCCAAGTCAAGGTCACACGGAAAGCCAGTCTGAGTCTGTTTTATTTGAACATCCTAACACAGCACTCGTCGACAATGGAGTTCATACATCGCGGATCTGTGCTGTTCATACCACTGTCGGTTCGTAGAAGACACTTACGCGTCATTCGGATTCCGGTAATGGGTAGACCTTGTTCATCCACACAAGCAGTCGCATTAAAAGAACTGTTTCATGTCTTCCCTTGCGAAACGATAGGCTATCAGCCAATTGGAAGGTTTTTGTGAACAGTGGAATACGAATATTTGAAATGTTAGTCTGCCACCTTATTCACCTGGTCAACCGGATTGAGTGGCCAATACTGAATACTAATTACCTTACAAATGGTAGGCATTAATGCCATGTAACGTGATTATCAGTCGGGAGGAACTTCCTGAAGTGTTCTACACTTGTTCGTCAGCTTGCGGCTGATGATGACAGATCCAAAAGCACTAAGCGATGTTGCAAAACAATGATGTGCCTGTATCTCAAACTGGGGCACAGTGACATTGAAAGCGATAAGGCTTATGATAGCACCAGTGTGGATCATACAGTAAAGTCGCGGGGACTCGTTGTTGTTTGTCTGGTGGCTGATTTTTTTTTCATTCAGCTGCAGCCTCGGTGCCTNGTGCCTAGCTACCGTGCTACACGACGGAGGGCTGCGATACTGCCAGGTCGCCCAAGCTTAGACAGGGAAAGTCGAGAGGCAGAGGTCGGGTTGGAACCACGGACCTTCCGGTCAGTAAACTCGCGCTCTAACCGCTTAGTCCATCTCCCCCCCCCCCCAGTGGGTGCGCATGCTGCATGCAGGACATTTACTTCCTGTTGCGTTCGCTTCTGCAGTTCAAGAAAGCCCTGTTAGTCGTACATCATTCCTTGCCTTCCTCTGACTAGGTGGATTAAAGTTTACCTCAGACCTTCCAACGTGCGTTTGTGGATTGACCAGCCTCATCGTGCAGCAGGGCCTTCAGACTGTGTACGGTCTAGGAACTATAGGGGAAAACTTTGATAGTTCAGGTAGCGTAGATGGTCGTTGGATTGTTCGCTGAGCTGGGCAATTTGATTGCAAACGTTTCATCACCAGTCGAGATGACATCATCAGTGCGTTATTGGGGTGCGTAGCGGTGGATTGGTGGTTGTGTCTAGGAACTATCCGGTACACATGAACAAGCATTCTGAAGTGTCGCAGCGTCTTAGCGCCACCATACTAAAGTCTCCCAGCTCCTCGTTTTCCAGTCACTAGTTGTAACCGCTGCAGCTATCATTCCAGTCAGCCCAACTCAGGCGTGTCAATTGGATTAACAGTGCCTAACACTGCACCAGCTAAGTAAAACATGTGGTATAGATGAGTCGGATGGCTAGCACCCGGGAAGATGTACCACGCGAAGCTCGATGCAGAGATCGGCCGCATCCAGCATTACAAGAGCAGATAAAGATGAATCGCCCGACACCTTGCCTTGCCTGCTGACCAGCGGGGTCGGTGACACTAACACGCGTGTTTCAAACCCGGAAGTGACCATTCACTAACATCGTCTCATGGACAAGCACACTATGTAATTAGTTGCACTGTAGACTAGCTACCGCGAAACTAATCAGATCTCACGTTGGAGACCGCTCACAAATGGTCGTCTTATTTGGCTTTCTGCAACGACCGTTTCCACCCCGCGATAGAAACGTTGTTTCGTAAATGATTCTGGTCTCCTGATGATCGATTCCGTAGAATGTTTTGTGTGACGGCATTTGTAATGGATGTACCATTTCGAGGGGAGCTTTGTGGGGATAGCTTTACTATCCGGAACTCATGAAAATTCTTCTTTCGAAGGTCATTTGATTCCTCACGAAAGCCTCACATTCTGTTTTTAGCAGCAAAGTTACTGAGAAGATACAAGTGGACGGAAACGTGTTCTTGGAGACAGTTACTCAGCATGACCGTGTGCCCAGGTCCTAAAAATAGAATGAGACAGTCTGTGCTAACCGCCATCGCGAGGAAACTGGAATTTGTTGCCGTGTGACTGTTTCCTCACCTCAGTAATTGTATTGGACGAACCTCTTGTCAGGTCGTTTAATGGATAGAGGTCTGACAAACACAGTAACCTGGCCTTCCAAGTTGAGTGTTGGAACAAGTGTGATAATTTGTTCCTTAACATTTTGGCTCCTTGAGTAGTTTCAAGCCAACCACTGCTTCTTCACACTCAGGCTTTTTAGCCAGATGCTTTAGTTGACGACCCTGATCGTCCTGTCTAGGTTTGGGTGACATGGCATTATCTTAGCCTACATACAATCGTGGGCTTTACAGACAAACGTGCCTTCGTGTCACATCGGTCGTCGTGTGATGACATCAGCCAGGTAGCCTTGTTCGCCGCGGACAGCAGGGCGGATAAGTGAAAACGTGCGGTTGCTGATGCCCTACATCTTCTTTCGTTATCATTTCAACTCCCGCCCTGTTCTAATTGATAGTCACTCTTATATAGATGCCAGCTGTGAAAATCTCAGTCGATAATCCGTAGACTGGACACACTGCACCGGTCCGCTATTCGAGCCCCGTTCTCGTGTTCCTACTGCAGTCTTTAACGTGAGAACTTTTAGGCGAATTGGCCAAGAAGCTGACATTGCGCGTACATAGATACGAATTTGGGTAGACGTCTGTTGCAGTTGTGAAACTGGAATAGAAGATCCAAATGCAGTTGTTGAGCTTACGGCGTCATCTCCTTCTAGACGCTATAGACCACGGACTTCGAGTGACTCTGAAGCTTCTGCAGCGGTGGCACAGGTGTTGTTACGGTATTGACTTCTCCAGCCGAAGCTTCGTTGCTCGACCGGATGATTATAAATAGCCGCCTGTTCGTACTCCAACTTTGTACTCCAATAAAAACTGTCGCAGTTAAACACCCGTATGTATTACTGGTGTATGGCTGTCAATGATGACGATGATGATGCAAACTGCAAAAGAACTCTCAGCTGTTCGTACTCCAACTTTGTACTTTAATAAAAACTGTCGCAGTTAAACACCCGTATGTATTACTGGTGTATGGCTGTCAATGATGACGATGATGATGCAAACTGCAAAAGTAACTCTCAGTGGATGCGCTAAGATGGGGATCATCCGTCAATAAGCAGGGGGGCCTTTTTGGAGAATATTCATTAACCGAAGAGACAATCTTTTTAATTTGTTTTACCCAGAGGACCTATTATTAAAGCGCTTTTTTTGTTAGTATCATGAAACAGGTTTTCCGATCAAGATAGATGCCGTTTCTGGCCAGAAGTGTCCATTTTCTTGGATCAAGTGAACACATGTAAGTGCTTCGGACCCAATAAGGCAAGTAGAACGTAAAGCACTTGCTTAAGTGTCGCTGAGGGTTTACGACGGAATTCGGCCTCGGGATCAAGTGGAGTTGTATTGATACGACCAAAAAAACACCGGATACATTCGCCATGGGCAGAAACTTTAAACTTCTAGAGATGTGAATGTAAAGCGCTACGTTTACTGAGGAAAGACAACAAAAGGAAAACTGGACACGGAAGGGACTCCCCAGGTATATCACATGGAATGTAGGATAACAGATCTCTTTGAATGGTCACCGGTGTGTTCAGTCACTCTACCTGGGCAATGGAGGCCAGGGGACTGTATATATTGGGCCATACCGTGTGACTTCATATGAAACTGTTCCCGGTTGCTTGTCCAATCATGGAAGATTTCTTTGACGCCGAAAATTTGGCTTGATTCATCCCAACCAACCTGAACCAGTATCCTTCACACACTACGCAATCGTTAGCCTGATAGGCTGTTCGCTCAAAACGGTTACATGTCCTCTACTGACACGTGTAAACGCAAGGAGGATCAGTCCCAGGTTGAAAAGCGCGAAGGTCACGCCGTCCTGCACCTGGCGCTTTCGTTTCCAGTCGTCGCGAGCGTCCCGGTAGATATTATATATCGTCCAGCTATAACACCCTTTCGGTTCCTAGCTGTTATACCACTCAAAAGAAGCATGAGGGCTGGAATACTGCCAGGTTGTCCAAGCTTAGACAGGGGAAGTCGAGAGGCACAGGTCGGGTTCGAACCACGGACCTTCCGGTCAGTAACTTCGCGCTCTAATCACTGAGCCATCTCGACCCGGTAGGTGGCTCTCGAATGATAAACACCGTCCCCACTTCCAACTAGCGGCTTACATAGCATTCAGCCGCGGACGTTCTATAATCCGCCAACTCCTGCTAGACTGCGAAGATACCGGTGATCATATACTTTGGAAAGCCAAGTGGTTTTTCAAGTCAGGGCAGGTTTTAGGCATGCCTAAAGGAAGGAACCACTGAACTTGAGTTTCACCCTCATTGGAGCTGATCGGCAATGCATATCCTTCGTCGTGTCTGGATTTGAACTCCGAGTATGCAACACGCAACCCCAACTAACTCAAACAATTTGCTTTAAAGCACCATCCAGTTCGAATGGTTATCAGTTGAGCTATTTAGACTGAGTTGGACTTTTCATTGTGACGACATTTCTGGCCTATCCTGTCTAATCTTACTGTGCCTATTTTCCACTTTTTGTCTTCATTACCTCAGCTTGCTCATCGTGTATTGCTCTAAAATATTTGCTTGGGTTCTGAGGTTGCCGAGATTCATCTCAATCCATCCAACGTTCATAGGGTTATAGTGAAGGAAAAGGCCAACCTAAGGTTCTCATCATCATCATCCTCATCGCCATCGTCGCCATCGTCATCAACATCGTCCTCACCACCATCGTCATCATCGTCAACACACCATCATCATCGTCATCCTCATCACCATCATCGTCGTCGTCATCATCATCGTCAACAACATCATCATCATCCTCATGCTTCACTGTCGTACTGCGCCGGCCGATGTTGCATGAGAGTATTTTTATCTGTAAATGTATGGTTTTACCTGCGACGGCCGATGTTGCATGAGGGTATTTTTATCTGTAAATGTCATGGTTGTACGAGGGCTGGGATACTGGCAGGACGCCCACACCTAGACAGCAGGACGATGAGGGTTCTCAACCAAAGCCTTTGGTTCAAAAGCCTAAGCGCGAGGCAGCGGTGTTTGATGGGAAGTGCAAATGCATTACCATTTCTACAGAGCCAGTCGCCACACATTTTTCAACCCCCAACCTGGAGGACCAGGGGAGTGTGTTCGCCGGTCCTCTTACCATTGAACAAACTGGTATCAGAGACTCTGTGAGAGTCGTGGGGATACCCCCTATATGAGGTCCAATGGGTCGCTGAGGTGCACAAACCGTCACACCACGGTAAAGTCCCGAGTTGTAACCCTGTTCCTATCGATCTTAATCCCTCCGTCTCACGTGAAAACGGATAGAACATGTGTTATTTATTGAGGAAAAGGCAAATGCGAAGCCGCGTTTTGGATCGTTGAAAAACAGTGAATGCATTTCAAAAGCCTGTTACAAAATAATAATCAGAGTGGTATGTGGAATCGGCGCGGGACAGTTGTAACCGCAACTGCTCCACCAGTCGATATAGTCGCCGGTTTTCAACTTTTAGTTTACGCACCCGCCTTCTGTATCTGTTCTGATCATCTTGTAACACGAATTCGCAACTTGAATCATCAAGTCCGCTATCTGCCTTCTGATTGGTTCGGATTTTCCGGCACATGGTGAGCTCTTTTTGCAATCTGTTGATTTCTGCACGGGCTTGTGATAATTCTGCCTCCGTGTCTTGTCGATCAGCAAGTTCTTGTTTTAGTGAATTGCACGTTTCTTGTAATGTCGTGGACAGATACTGAAAAGTTTGAAACACGGCAAGCAAATAGAAACATCAGGTTGGTGGGTTCAAAACACGGAGGGATTCGTGCATACTAAGAAACGCGCAAACTAGAAAAAAAATAGGAGAGGTATCCCATGAATAAACTAATTTCAAAACCTGTGCAAAAGAAACGTGTTTCTCGTGTCAACAAAAACCAAATAGTACCATTGTTTTTCTCTACCCAAAGTCTCTGTCAGGAGACTGATAGATCAAAATAACAAGAACTAAACTCTTATCTAGACGTAACACACTACTCATAAGGTTGCCGAAAACCCTTTGACGGCAGACGCCTTTGTTGGGGGAGGCGCAAGCGCGAGCTTCTCCTTGAACCCAAATTGTACAGATTTCGACTAATATTCTCTGTTGTACACGAATTTTGTTTTGACAGGAGACTCGGCCGAATCTCTCGTTGATGATTCAGCTGAATTCAGTCGAGTCTCCTGTCAAAACCAGAATCGCGCGGAAATCAGAGTATCTGTCTAAGAACGAAGCTCTGTTTGCTTTCGTTATCCTAACTGCCGCAAAAGAAAATAGTTGTGATTTAAATTGTCAAGCGTTCCCCATCACCAGTGGGTTCCAAGGAAATTTGCAACCTACCTTCAACCAACCAACTTCATTTCTCAATTCCCGGACAGACTCGTGCAATGCTTCTGTTTCCGCCTTTTCGATCTCTCGTATTTCTGCAGCGGTTTCCTTGATGCCCTTATGTTGAACCGATCCCAACTGGAATGTAGATGGATGAATTTACAATACGAAGCATTTCTTTGAAGAATTCTACTATTAACGAATATACACTCATTTGCAAACTAATTTGGTTTTTCGAGAGACTCGGAGAACTTTACAGACGAGAGATTCAGCTGGGTTCCAGGTGAGTCTCTCGAAAAACCAAATTAGTTTGCGAATGGGTGTATATTCGCTAATTTCGTGCTATTTGGTTTCAAGTAGAACATAGGGTTGACGGAAATTCGGGGACCGCGCCTACCTGATGAATCTTAAAAAGGGTGAAACCGGCCGTGGGCTGTCGATGAATTTTCAGCAAACTTACGAGTAGTACATTACAAAAATTCTACTATTAGTTAACTCGTGCGGATGGTAAGGAAGGGCGACAATGAAGGATAACTACTTGGTGTGAGTGGTTTCACAAACGAGTGTTCCGTTGACGCGTTCCGTCTTTTATCGGTTTGTCAGTTCATTCACTCACTCACTTATTTTCTCATCAATTACACTGTATAACCGGTTCAATTATTCGATCAGTTATTCACTTATTTCATTATGCAATTATCAAGCCAGGTTATTGATTAGTCAGTCGGTCAGTCATCTGCGATCCTACTGAAGTGTGGGCGGTCATGAAAGCAACACTTGAATCCAACTTTAAGTTGTAATGCCCACAGTCTCCCTTTCTTCAATACGGTACTCCACTCGAAGGGCCCATCAAGTAGATAGGTCTTGCCTGAGGATGAGAAACTTTCGGTTGTACGAAATGCCTTTATTTGCTGTCAGAGTGTTTGTACCTTCTGGTTCCCAAACTGGTCCATTTAAGTTCTGCAGGGAAATATCACAACAAGGAACCCTAGAGTTCCTATTTATTGAATGGGTTTGATTTCGCAAGGATCAATATCCGACATATTGTCCGTCATCTTGGCTAATCTCGATATTGCTTAAGTAGTCATTCAGTTAGCAATTTCGTTAGAATATGCTTCAGTGATGAAGTACGTTGAAAATACTAAAACTATAGCACACAAGGAAGTACCTCTCAACAAGAGACACTCATCCAGAGAGGCTATATGCCCCTAATTGCTTGGTTCTGTCTGTTGAAGTCTTCTATGTATATTCGACACAGTCATCTTAGCCGTTGCGAATGCGTATGGAATTGAATTTCTTGGTTTCACTGATACCGGTGAAAGGCAAAAGGCCTTCGTTGCGGAGTTATTTATTAGGAAATGCCAACTGACCGGTTACAGACCATTGGACAGGGAAGCAAAACTCTCATTTGCATCTTGTTTACAAAAACTGGACACCCATCTTCTCCCGAACGCGTCTTCTTGAACTATCATGGAGATTCATTGACTCCAATCATTCCTTGCTCAAATCCAAGCAAATGTTACAAAGTGACTCCACGAATTCCGCAATAGATTTCCCCTTTGCAAAAGACGCATCCCCCATCAGTAGTACCGTTACACCGGTACTGAAATTCTCGGTTTTAGGGGACACATAAATGGCTGATATTCACACGTGTCCGTTCACTCTAATGCGTCGTTCATTAGGTCGTGTTAGGCTGTTCGTATTTTCTCATCCATCCTTGGGTCTATCATTGTTGCCAAACAGCATTCACTTTCAAACGCTTCACAAAAGTGATTTTTCCTAATCGGAAAGCTGTTTTCAAACACATCGATCCTCAGAAACTTTGGCGGTGTTTCGCCATCAATGGTACCCCATTTATGAGTATACGAACTCCTGTGGACGCGTACGTATCTATAGCGATATTCTCTTAGGTTCACTTTGTCCAGTAGTGTAAGACAAAGCCGTCATTTCTCACCACACCAAATCAACTGCTTGAAATTCCTCTTCCCGCCTCTGAAACTCCAGGAGCCTGTATGCTTCTGAGGTGCTCATTCACCGACGCTGAGTGAAGGTGTAAACCACTTTAAATAACGTAACTCTGTTGCGTGGTTTGATATATGCCTCACAACTGCAAAGTGTAAATTCCCGCTATAAGGCCGATTAGAATCAAACACACACCTCTTGCTAACAGATCATCCAACTGACGTCGTGGATAAATTTGTTTATTTTGGCTGCTGTATATGTTCTATCGGCCTGGTTGGAGATAAGAGCGACAAATACTGTGTTGGCCAAACGGGAAGAAAACTTGCCAGCAGAAGACATGACCCAATGTCACTCGTCTCAATCCACGAAGACAGAGAAGGACACACGTTCAATTGGGACAATGTTCAAATACTCGCTCACGCACGAACAAAACGGGAGCGAGAATTTGCCGAGGCGTGGTACTCCACACAAAAATCGATCAATAAACACATCGACATTGACCCATTCTATCAGCCGTTACGAGCAAAAGAACCACTCAGTCACGGGACTCGGAGCCAAGAAACCTAACAGCAAGACAGTCACTAAAAATAGAAGGCCGATGAATCAACCAACCAAGTAAACAAAACTCACACCACAAAGCAAGAAGAAAACGGTCGAATCACAGCATGACAACCACATACAGAACTGCCGAATTGAATGCACCCAACGAACCAACCAGACACAGGAGATTGAGACCACGTGAGATTCACAGGAGACCAATCAAGCAACACGACGACCGTTTCCAGAACTACCAGATACTGTTTAGAAGCTATATAATCACAGGCGTAAGAGGAGGAATTCACCCACTCAACCCTGCACTGGCGATTTCACCTCGATTGGTGATTAAACGTTTGCAATCCAACTGCCAAGCTCGGCGAACAGACCAACAACCAAACAGCGCACCCGAACTACCTACATTCCACAACATTGCTACTGAGAACACTTATCGCATTGAGAAGGCCAGTGCAGCTTTTGCAAACCTCCGACACCTATGGCACCGACGTGACGGCAGTTTGTCCGTCAAGGGCAGAGTTTACAATACAACAGTGTGATCCATAAGGCTTTGTTGATCAGAAACGTGACCTCTGTGCACAGTGAGTGTAGGAAATCTGTCAGTATCTGACCATCAGTGTCTCCGAAGCAGACTCTATGTGATGAGAACATCTGGTAAGCAACGCTGAGGTACTACAGAAGGTTTTAGGAACAAGAAACTCTCGCGCAATGGATTAGCAACTCAAACTTCCTAGGTTACGCTGGCTGCCCAGCCCTGTGCTGATTGGAACCGAGAGTTGGAAAGTGCAAAACCTGGCAACGACGTATGAAAACACTAACCAGTAAATTTAATCGGGTTGCCATCTCCCGCCTCCTTGGACGGGACCCCGGGACTCAACTCACAAACTGTTGATAACAGTGGTAGAAACGGTTCAATCACGTAGTCACATGGCGACCACGCATTGAAACTCTCGCCTCCAATTGTAGCTGTCCAGTTTCGCGAACTAACCGATCACACCATCTTCTCCGATGCTTGGCTGTATGTCGCACTGAGCAGAACTGTAGCCGCTGCGGTCAATGTACCCGTTGTACATCGTTTAAAGCTGATAAACTGAACTGAACTGATTGCTGATAACGGCCAATTCAAAATAGACCTCACTGACGAAAGTTGACACGTAGATCAACCAGTTGTAAGCGTGCGTATGCAGATATTTCACTCTGATTTAGATGAAGGTGCTCACAGATACAAACTCTGATGTGATTGGTCCACGAAGTGCATCGGGTTCAATCACGACTGGTGTTTAACTAGCGACCTCTATTTGCCGCTTTACCAACCCAAAATGGCTCATTTGAATGTTCACTGACCGAAATGCGAACTTTGCCCTCATGTAACGGTTCTGTTGTTAATAAAGTAATATGTGGATTTTACCAACAAGTTCATGGAGAAGTGAGACTGCCCTTACACATGAGATGCACTTTCATGTGCAGTCCCTTAATGAGGTCATTACTTGGTACCGAGACCTAGATACAGAAGCCCAAGGTCACTACTCAGATCAGCCACGGTGTATGAGTGCGTTTCATTTGTGAACCGTCAGTCATGCTGACATGTACACGCCAAATGATACGGGCAATTCTACAATGCATTCAAAAAATTAGTTAAAAGACCCAATCAGGTTCAAATTTGGTTACTACGATTAGAAAACTAGGCGAATCCCTTCTTATCACCCAACCGTCCGTAAAAATCACCTCAAGGGGACTCAAATCAACTGACTTGTCTGGTTAGACGCTCAATCCGTTCTTCCAACTTCGCAACGACTTCCGCGTTTGAGCGTTGACTGGCCACCAGTTCGGTATTGGCCATCGAAAGCTCTCGTTGAGTGACTTGATACTTTCTATAGGTTGCCTCCAACTGTTCCTGTAATTCCTCAATCTGTGCAACAGCGCTGTCAAGATCCTCGTGTTTGTTTGTTTGCCGTTTTGGTAACTCGTGGTGCCTTCTCCTGACTTCTTGGGCAGAGTTGCCTTAAATGTGTGGAGAACAGGTTGATTGCAGTTAGGAAGGAACAGAATAAAGTTTGAATATTTAAAGCCATTGCAGTATGGATGAACACAGTTGATACTTAACTCCTTAGTATTTGCTCGACCGTCGAGACCATGAGCGTCACAGTCTTTAGTATTTGCTCGACCGTCGAGACCATGAAGCCGTGCCAAGCAGTGAGCGTCACAGTCCATCGTCGTCATCACCATCAGGAGCATCCTTTTTAGCACTGATGCTTCACTGCCGTACAACCACAAAGTTTATTCAGCTGTATTTAGAGTTTTAGGGTTGAGAAAATACAAGAGTTGGGAAGGGAACCTGGTGCTTGCCCATTGCAAGCGTTCTGAGGTGTCTACGCCTTCAAGCGGTCAATCAAACAATCTGAAAAGGAACTGAAAGTATGAACACCGATAAGCCGTCTTTTCTTGCAGTGTCTCCAGCAAAACCCAGGTTTGGTCATGAGGACCTCATTCTGGAGGGCGGGGCGCACCAAAGACACCCAAACTCTTTCACATATAAGTTGGGCGCTGCCTAGATTCTTTTTTAAAAGAAACCGTGCCCAATATCACGGCGAAGTTTGTATTAGGCAGCAGAG